CTATAACCATAATTGGATATGGAAAGCACATTGTCACAACAAGCTAAAAATATTTCTCTGGCTTCTAGTACATCAACGACTTTCCACTGCCACAATACTAAATCAAAAGAAGATAATAGACTCTAGTAACTGCCCACATTGTGGGATTGAGGAAAACATAAACCATATATCCTTCCAATGAACAATGCCATATAGGGAGTTTTACACATTAGCACATCATCTTCTAATCAATTAGACTGGATAAAGAGTATGTGTATCTCTACATTTAACACTAACCTACCGAATAACACTCAAATTCCCCTATTAGTACTAACACCTATAATCCTTTAGCATATATGGATCAACCGAATCATAAAAAACTTCAAAAATTGTTCTAATCTCATTGATAGTGAAAGAATAATTACATGCGCAATGGAATACCTATACCTAACAAATCATAGGATTCAAACACAAAAATTTCCAACATACAACTCAAGTGGACCCTACCGCCACCAAATATCTATAAACTAAATATAAATGGGTGCACATAAAAAACTCCAACATCGGAGGAGCAGGAGGAATCATCAGAGATTCAAATGGAAACTGGATCGATGAATTGTCTAGTCACATAGTGGCATCATCATATACAAGGGGAAATAATTGCATTAGTCAAAAGTTTGGAACCGACATTCATAAAAAATCGTACACCGATAATAGTGGAAACGGACTGCAGGTACTAATTTCCTTATTAAACAACAAATTCGACAACAAAGCTAATGTTAGTTTTCTACATGACTACAGGTTCCTGCTCGATGCAATGGGCTAATCGATTGTTAGGCGCATATAACATAAAGGGAACCAACTAGCGCATACACTAGCAAAATATGGGAGCAATTGGAACTCACATACTTATGCTGAGTGTGAAAACTACTTCTGAAGTGAACCGCCTTCATTTACTTTCTCTACTTTCTGCAAAGACTTATTAGAGGCCGCATTATTAAGATCAGTTCCATACTGTAATAACACTTCGTAATTTCCTTCTTTATAATAAGTTTCTCTATTTAGCAAAAAAAACACTTATCAAAGGAGGTGGTTGAAGTGACAATTTCATTTTGTTTTTAAAACATGCATATCTTGTGTTGATAATCTATTAAATCTGTTCTGATTTTGTTTCTCAATCTGACTGCCTAGTTTTCATACTTCCATATTTATCCAAAATTTCAATCAAAATACAAACATGTAACGATCCGACCGGTCATTTTGAGAGTTAAAGCTCATGTCCCCTATTAACTGCTTCCCCCGTATCTATTTCTGCTCTTGTGACTTGCTGGGAGGTTTCATTCTAGGTTTTGAAGTGTTTTGGGACACATAGTCCCTAAATGGAGGCTTAAGTCTTAGAATTTGGACCGTAGACGGAACGGTGTGAAGACGACTCCGGAATGGATTTCAATCCGCTAGTTCCGTTAGGTGATTTTAGTCTTAGGGAAGTGCCTGGATTGTATTTTGGAGATCCGTAGCTCATTTAGGCTTGAAATTGTGAAAGTCAAATTTCTAGAGATTTGGACCAGCAGTAGAATTTTTTACATCGGGGTCGGATTCCAATTTGAGAAGTTGGAGTAGGTCCGTAGGGTTAAAAATGGCTTGTGTGCAAAATTTGAGGTCATTCGGATGTGGTTTGATAGGTTTCGACATCGGTTGTAGAAGTTTGAAAGTTTTAAGTTCTTTAAGTTTGAATCGGAGGGTGATTCGTGATTTTAGAGTTGTTTGAGGTGGTTTGAGGGCTCGACTTAGTTCATATGGTGTTTTACGACTTGTTGGTATATTTGGTTAAGGTCCCAGGGGCCTCGGGTGTGTTTCGGATGCTTAACGGGTTGAAATTTGGACTTAGGACATTGCTGAAGTTTCAGACATCTGGTGTTTACGCACCTGCGGTGGGGAAATCGTAGGTGCGGGCTCGCAAATGCGAAGAAGCAAGTGCAGGAGCGGATTTGGAAGCTTAGGGTGGGATCGCAGGTGCGAGGTTAGTTCTGCATCTGTGATGCCCGCAGATGCGGTGAAGGACCGCATAAGCGAACATGTATCCACAGGCGCGCTCACGCAGGTGTGGCCCCATTGCCGCAGATTCGGACCCAACCTTCATAAGTTACTTTCGCACCTGCGATGCTTTTCTCGCAGGTGCGCGGTTGTTGGCTCGCAGAAGTGAGTTCGCTGGGCAGAAAAGAGAGAGTTTCGAGGGTTTGAATTCATTCTTCATTTTTGGACTTAAGAGCTTGGAAATTGGAAATTCTTCGAGGGATTTTCAGAGAAAGCTTTGGGGGTAATGATTCCTAACTCTTTTTTGGTTGTATTTCATTGATCCATGTTGTTTTCTTCATTAAATTAAGAAATTTGGGTGAGAAGTTGGAAAAATGGGGGAAAAGTTCTTCAATCAAATTTTTATAGTTTTGATTGGGATTTAGACATCGGATTTAAATAATTTTGGTACGATTGAACTTGTGAGTGAATGAATGTTCATAATTTGTGACTTTTAACCGATTTCGAGACGTGGGCCCGGGAAGGCTTTTTGGGCGATTTTCTAATTTCTTGCCTTAGCTTTGATTTCATTAGCTAGATTAGTTTTTTATAGCTATATTTATGTTATGTAATTGGTTTTGGCTAGATTTGGGGAATTCAGAGTCGGATATTCGAGGAAAGAGCATTGTGATAAATTGATTTGAGCTTGGTTCGAGGTAAGTGACTTGCCTAACATTGTATGGGAGAACTCCCCTTAGGATTTGGTACTGTTTGATATATGAGCGTCGTGTACGTGAGGTAATAAGTGCATACACGGGCTATTTTTTGAAAAACTATGTTTTCATTAAGTAAAATATATATTTTACTTTAACTGAGCTACACTAGTATATATAATTGTCATGTTTAGTTAAGAACAACATGTCTACGTGTCTTAATTGCTTATCAAAACTCTTTACAGCATGCTTAGTGAATTTCCCACTTCTTCATTGACGTGTACTTAGTCTAAATCATAGGATTTCCGAGTTGTAGTCGTAATTCTATTGTTTGAGCTGCATATTAACTTTGGGACTACGGAACGGTATTCCGGGAGATCCCCTTGTACTGCATATTTACTTTGGGACTATGAAACGGTATTCTAGGAGATCCCTTAGCACCGCCTATTTACTTTGGGACTGCGGAATGGTATTCCGGGAGATCCCCTTGTACTGCATATTTACTTTGGGACTGCGGAATGGTATTCCGGGAGATCCCCCTGCACATTTACGTTTGGGACTACGGGATGGTATCCTGGGATATCCTCTATTGTTATCTCTGTGTTCTCAGCTGTTGTCTTTCTATGATTCTATTCCTGTTTGATTTTTGTAACTGTGATATCTCATTATATATTATTACATTATATTTATACCAATAGGGCCCTAACCTAATTTCGTCACTACTCGACCGAGGTTAGGCTTGGCGCTTATTGGGTACTGTTGTAGTGTACTTGATGTTTTAAGTGTCAATACCACACAATAGAGGGATGATTTGTGTGGTACCCAATTTTTTGCTTAACTAGTCTATAGAAGAACCTGGTTCTTATAGGTGTTCCAACTACTACTATTTGCGAAATAATAAATACAGAAAATGAAGAACACAGAGATTTTACGTGAAAAACACCTAGCTCAAAAGGTGAAAAAACCACGACCTACTACTCAGTAGGATTTTCCCAAACTTCCACTAAAATCACTGAGCCAAAACATCATTTACAAAAACTCTTTGTAAACCTAAGGATTAACTCTAATCTCATTGTGGCACACATCCTCAACTGTTGCGATAACTTTAAGTTAGCTATAACTTGAACACTCTAGGTACCTAATACAATTGCTTCTATGAAAGCTGAAAAGTACAACTTTAAACCACCTACTATAATTGAACTAGAATAAAAGATAGACACAATGGAACTGGTTCTTCTATCTCGTTCAAGTAGCTTCAGGTGTGCACACTCCCACATAAATTGCTTGCAAAATTGCCTTGTTCTTTTGCTCTCAATTTAGTTAACTTCTGCGTATGCGCATTACCTGTAAAAGAGAACAATACTGACATTTAATAGGTTAGTAATCAGAGTTTGATTAGAACTCAATTGCTGCTCTCCTATCGTAGAAGAGTTCATGATGATCTCAAACTCTAACACTATCTTCATCCTAGATTGTGTTCTCTTCATATAAGGAGACTTTTTCCCCTTATCCAATATGCAACCTTTTCGATCAGATCAGGAGATATTGCTGCTTGATCAGTAGGACTTATCTCCTTCACGTGCATCTCACATGTATAGGTTGATCATGGCTGTTCTTCACAAGATGGACCTTGTCCATGACTGAGTTCTTTTTGTCATTCTTCAAAACTTCACTTGTTCTTGGGCCAACAAATTCCCCCTTTTTGATGATGACAAACTCTGTGCTTTTTACTGATTTGGAACCTATAAGAACTCAGCTTAACCATCAATACTAAACTTAGAAAATTCACTTATCATCAAGGACCAGGTTAATTAGGTTATAAATATCACTTATTTTCAGAATGTGTAAAGCACAATGTTTATTCCCCCTTTTGGCATCATCGAAAAGTTACATACAAAGTGTGATACCCAGATTTTAATAAGTACTCATGGCCACTGGGGCAACTGCAAGTGCAATCATGGTGCAATCATTAGTAATCAAGCAAACATATTTAAACTATCAAGGACAGATTAATCATTGAACAAGAGCAAAACAGTAGTTATCATTGGCAGAGATATGTTGCCACCAACAATCCACAAAAAGAAAGAAAAACATTCAAACCATGAGCAAAAAAAAAAACAAAAGATAGAAACATCCCTAATCTGGGTCACGGAGGTACTAAACATACCCTATTTCCCATTTCTTCAGAGTCACATTTAGCCTGTCCAGAACTGTGGTTAGAATAAAGCCATAGGGAGTAGCATGGACCTTGGAGCAGTTTATGACCCTGTCTAGCAGCTTGTTAATGAAGGCAGGCTAGTTGATTTGCTTTCCTTTCTCCAGGCACTCCATAAGAACTAGATCCATGTAATTAGCAATGTGCCTTCTCTCCTGTCTGGGCAATAAACACTTGTTGACAAATTCAGACAAGACCTTGTGCTCAGGCCTCATTTCACTTTTCTGCACCGCCCTGGCTTCATTAACCTCTTCTGAATCACAAAACCTCATGGTGATTGCAAGAGCAGCAGGAAGGGAGTCCTGGCAGGGCCACCTTTGCCTTGTATAGTCATCAAACCCTTCAGAGGGCATGTCCAGGATCTCTCCCAGTTTCTTTGCATCAAACTGCACTTAGACTCCTTTCACCAGGCTACTAACAATGCCATCCTTAACCGCAACATTGGCCATAAATTCAATTAGCTCATTTCTGGCTAGCCTACCATCCATCTGAAGGACCATGTCCTTCCATCCCTGAGCAGCTAAAGTATCCACCAATCCCATCATTCTTGGTTCCACCAGGTCTTTCAGCAGTCTACCCTTTAATATCTTTCTTTTTCCAAACATGGCAAGCTTATCCTATTCCTTCTCAGAATCATTTTCTTCTTCTTCTCCACTCCAGTCATCATCTTCAAAAAAATTTAATTGTTTAGTTTTCACTACAGATCTTGTCCTGTTGTCTAGTGTAGGTTCACCGGCCTCAGACACAAAGGAAGACTTTTTGGAGAAGGTCTTGGTATTTTTAGGCTTGGGGGTAGGAACCTCCACTAATGTACCTCTTTCTTGATGGACCAGTTCCATCTCCTCTTCCTCAACAGCCTTTGAGGGTTCTGCAATCTTTCCCTTTCCTTTATCCATTTTCTTTTTCTTACTCTCTTTTAAAGCCCTTTGTAGATCAACTTCACTCTGCTTTACCCTACTTCTTGTGGCTCTACCCCTTGGCAGTGAAGAGGCAGTAGGTGTTGGGGATGAAGCCTTTATTTTCTTGGAAGGCTTAGGAACATTAGGGGCTTTTGTTGTGGGAGTTCTGCGTCTCTTTGGGTCATAACTTGCCCCAACCTTTTTCAGTAGGTCTGCTAGGGTCTCTTTAGTAGATGAAACAAGTTCATCTCTCTGTGTGCTCAGATGAACCAACCCCTTAGTAGCTTCCCTAGAACTACTTCCCCCTGACTTCATGCCACTCTCTTCTACCCTTTCTTGTGCAACCCCATAGATAACAAGAACTGCTCCCTTCCCATTTCCCCTCTCATTACCACATGCACCCTCTCTCTTTTCTTTTTCGGAGTTATTTTTACCTCCACTCCTTTGTGACCCTGGTACTTCTACATCCTTAACAGACCCAATCAGAATGAACCTAGATTCTAGATTCTCAGACACAGAAGAAATTACCTTAGATGGAGATTCTTGAGGCTTTTCAGAGTCAGAAGACCCAGGTCCTTCCCCCTCAATAGCGGATTGATATGATTCAGAATCAGAGCTAGAGCTGGAGTTTTGGCCCTGGCTTCCCTTAAACTTTTCATTTAATTTCTTCCTAGGAGCCCCAGACGGTACAATATTTCGAGCAAGTATTTTCAGCCTACGTAGTCTGGGTTTTGGCGATGTACTGGGTGGAGAAGGTGTGGTTGAATTTGAGAGAGATGGTAGTGGAGGAGTTCCAGGATTGTCTTGTGGGTTAGTCATGATTGTTGGTTTCTTGAGAGAATTTGGGAATTTAGAGTTTTGGAGAAGAGGGCAAGTGAAGAATGTTTTTTTGACGGTTTGGAATTTTAAAGATGGCAGGAGAAATGATGTGTATTTAAAGAGAAATACACATTTAATAGGTAACGACAACCTTTTGCAGTGGTCAAATAGAGGTCTAATCAACCTGAAATTTCAGATTTTGAATGATCGGTTTATCTTCCCTAGATTTTAGGCAAAGTTTTTGGTTTAGAGTTCTAGGCAAACAGAAGTGGTTCAATGCTAACAGATAGAATTTTCTTGGAATTTAACAAGTATAGGACTTCAACTCATGATTGAATATTAATCTTTCTAATTGTGCAGAGTATAGAAAACATATCTTAGCTTTCATATGAACCCATACTGGTGAACCAAGTTCTTCATTTAGAAGTCTCTTGAGCATGCCTCAAATGCCATAATAGAGAAAATTTTGTAAGAGATCAGTGAGTCATATAAGCACATGTCACAGGAGTATACTAATTAAAGTATGAAGCTGAGTAAGAATGAATCTAGATAATTACACAAGTTCAGAATTCCTAGCCAAAACATTTTTTTCCTTTTTTCATTTTTTTTTTCATTTTTTTCATTGTATTCTGAGCTGGACCTATTAGGTGATCTTAATCATCCCTAATTCCAACCTGTTCCTCTCAAAGTTTTCTTAACTCAGTGCTTTAGTGAAGATGTCAACAATTCGTTTATCAGTAGCACAAAATTCTATGGAGATCAATCCTTTCTCATAGTTATCTCTTAAGAAGTGGTGTCTAACATCTATGTGCTTAGTCCTCTTATGATGAACAGGGTTCTTTGTCATACTTATAGTACTAGTGTTATCACAGAATATTGGAATGCTACCAACTTCAACGCCAAAATCTACCAGCTGTTGTTTGATCCATAACAATTGAGCACAACAAGAAGCAACAACAACATATTCAGCCTCAGCAGTGGATAAGGCCACTGAATTTTGCTTTTTAGTGGCCCGGGATACAAGACATGAGCCAAGAAAATGAGCCATACCTGAGGTGCTTTTCCTATCCACAAGGAAACCTGCATAATCAACATCAGCATATCCTACTAGATTGAAATTACTACCTTTAGGATACCAAAGACACAAATCAGTGGTGCCTTTCAAATATCTTAGTATCCTCTTGACAACAGTCAAGTGAGACTCTTTTGGATCGTCCTGAAAGCGAGCACAAAGCCCTACACTAAAAACTATGTCAGGTCTGCTGGCAGTAAGATACAAGAGTGAACCAATCATACCCCTATACAACTTCTGATCAACTGATGAACCAGGTTCATCTAAGTCTAATTTAGTGGCAGTTGCATGGGGGTGTCTATTTCCTTTGATTCATCCATTTTAAACTTTTTTATCAGCTCTTTTGCATACTTCTACTAATGAATCATGGTTCTATTTGGGCTTTATTTGATCTGTAAGCCTAAGAAAAAGTTAAGCTCACCCATCATACTCATTTCAAACTCACTCCCCATTAATTTGGCAAAAATCTTACTTAGTTTATCAGTGGTGTCCCCAAAGATTATGTCATCAACATATATTTGTACCACAAGGAGATCCTTACCTTTTTCCCTTAAGAATAGGGTACTATCAATTTTTCCTCTTTTGTAGCCATGTTCAAGAAGAAATTTGGACAGTCTTCATACCATGCTCGAGGAGCCTACTTGAGTCCATAGAGAGCCTTATCTAATTTGTACACATGCTCAGGACATTCCTTGCTCTCAAACCCTGGAGGTTGTTTCACAAACACTTCTTCTTTCAGGTAGCCATTCAGGAAGGCACTTTTGACATCCATCTAATGGAGAGTGAATTCCATGTGTGTAACAAAGGTTATGAGGAGTCTTATTGCCTCTAGTCTTGCAACTGGAGCAAAAGTCTCATCATAATCTATACCCTCCTCTTGGCTGTAACCTTGGACCACAAGTCTTGCCTTGTTTCTTGTAACTGTTCCATCTTCATCAAGTTTGTTTCTGAAGACCCATTTTGTACCAATAACTTAGCTGTCCTTGGGTCTTGGAACTAGATGTCAAACTTGACTTCTCTCGAACTGATTGAGTCTATCTTGTATTGCATTCACCCAATCTACATCCTGCAAAGCCTCAACAACATTTTTAGGTTCAATAAGAGATAAGAAAGCATCAAAAGCACACAGATTATTTAATTGTGATATAGTTTTGATTCCAGATGTTGGATCAGTGATTATGTTCTCAATAGAATGAGAACTTTAATATTTGTAAGGTTTCACAACCAACTGATGTCTGCTAGATGTTTCTCCCATATTCTGTTGCTGAGGAACAGGGTGATGAACAAGTTCTTTTAGGGGATTTGTTTCAATTCCTCTTTGATAAGTTCCCCCTGTCAGGTTGCCCTAAATGGAAGGACCTGTTCCATCACATATTCCTTCTTTTGGTGCCACTTTAACTTGTGCTGAGACTTCAGTCAAATCCTTTACCAATCTAATGGCTTCATCTTCATGTTACTGTCTCTTAAAAAGAACGTTAGTTTCATCAAACACTACATGCACACTTTCTTCTACACATAAAGTTCTTTTATTGAACTCTTTATATGCTTTGCTATGTGAATAATATCCCAAGAATACTCCCTAATCACTTCTGGGATCAAACTTACCTAGGGAGTCTTTTCCGTTATTATGCACAAAGCACTTGCATCCAAATACCCTAAGATGGGATATATTTGGTTTTCTCCCTTTAAGTAACTCATATGGAGTCTTCTCTACAAGAGGTATAGTCATGCATCTATTGATAATGTAACATGCAGTGTTTACAGCCTCTGCCCAGAAGCTGTGGGGTAGTTTACTAAAAAGAAGCATAGTCCTAGCCATGTCTTTAAGAGTCCTGTTCTTTCTTTCAACTACTCCATTTTGTTGAGGAGTCCTAGGGGCAGAGAAGTTATGATCTATACCATGCTCATCACAGAATTAAGCAAACTTAGCATTTTCAAATTCAGTTCCATGATCAAACCTAATGGATGCAAGTTGATTACCTAGTTGTTTCTGAGTTTTTCTAACAAAAGTAGCAAACATGTCAAATGCTTCATCTTTAGATGTTAAAAATAGTACCTAGGTAAATCTAGAATAATCATCAACAAGTACCATTACATATTTCTTTCCACCTATGCTCATGGTTCTCATTGGACCACAGAGATCCATATGGACCAGTTCCAACGACTTGGTTGTGCTTACCATTCTCTTGCTTTTGAAGGCTGATCTTACCTGCTTCCCTCTTGCACAAGCCTCACAAACTTTGTCTTCCTTGAACTTGATGTTAGGTAACCCTATCACCAAGTCCTTAGAGACTAATTTGTTTAGTTGTTTCAGACTAGCATGACCAAGTCTTCTGAAAGAGTAGACAAAACTACAATGTAAATTTTGTTAACTCTTTTTCCCTGCAAAACAATTTTGTCAGTGGTAAGGTTAATCACAAATCATTTAATAGAGGTGAATGCTACAAGATTACCTCTGTCACACAGTTGTGACACACTGATCAGGCTGTATTTCAAGCCATCTATCAAGTAGACATTCTCAATGGAGTGAGAGTATGTCTTACCTACCTTTCCAACCCCAATAATCTCACCTTTCTTCCCATTTACAATGGAGATATTACCTCCCTTTAAATCCTCAAGTGAAAAGAACTGGTTCTTACTTCCAGTCATATGTTTTGAGCAGCCACTATCCATGTACCACATTTGGCTACTTCCCTTCACTTGGACCTGTAAAAAGAAATCAAAGGCTAGTCTTAGGAACACAAACTAGTTTGGGTCCCTTTCTATAGGCAAAGGGATGAATCAAATTCCTTTTAGCCCACCCAGGAAGCCTATTTTTCTCTTGAACAAAAGCTTTGTTCTTTTGATTGGCCTTTTATTTTGCATTACATTAATATTTGTAATGGCTAGCCTTGCCACAGTGTGTGCAGATTTTGTTCTCAGGGAGAGTGAGGTACTTGCTTTTAGGATCCCACTTAGGTGTTTGAGTCCCATAGCCAAGTCCTCTTTTCTTGCTACTGTGATGTTCTTGTAGCCTGGAAAGTGCATCAGAATCCTTGTTCCATTTGCAAGTTCTGTCTAGTTCATGTTTTACCTTCCCTAGATCTTCTTTTAAGACTTTTATCTGTTCATCCTTCCTGTACAACTCGTCCTTCATTTTTCCTAAGTTTTCTTCTTGGGTGAGATGTGTGTGGTCAGCTTTCTTCTTACCTGTTCCTAGTTTCAGTTTTAAATTCTCAGACCTAAGTTCTAGGACACTGGTGTCAAGTTCAAGAACCTGGTTCTTCAACTCAGTATTTTTACTTTCACTCTCATTAGCCCTAGACTCTAGATTTTTCCACTTGGCTTTTAGGATCACACATTCCCTAGATAGATCTTCCTTCTCACTGTTAATTATCTCAGACTCATCAATGAAGTCTAACAATAGCTCAGACAATCTTTCTTTAGACATGAATTTAATCTAGTCTTTGACATGAAGGATACTTACCTCTTGTTCATCATCTGATTCTCCGATGGCCATAAGTGCTTGTTCATCTCCAGCTTCATCTTCTGAGTCCTCATCTGATGTTTCTCCCCAAGCAGCAACCATAGCCTTTGTTGATCCTTTGTTCCTTTTTGGTTGAACCTGTTCTTTCTTCCGGTTTCTTCGTTTTGCCCTTTCCTTCTTCCACTCAATTTTCCATTGAGGACAGTTCTTGATCATGTGGTCAGTCTTACCACAGTTGTAGAAGCCCTTATTGGTTTGTTTCTTAGGAACCCTTGGTTTATTGAAGTTGTACCTCTTGAAGAACCATTTTCTCTCATCGGGTACTTTTTGAAATCTCTTGTGATCATGGCCATTTCATCATCCTCTAGATCTGAACCTTCAGCTATTCTGAGAGCTAGACTTCTTTCCTTCTTGGGTGTATCCATTTTCATGGTTTTCCTTCTTAGTTCATAGGCAGTAAGG